ACAGACTAGGAAGAAGGAGGAGGCCATCTACTTCTCAAAGAATTGGCCAGGGAAAACCTTACGAATAGCAGAGAAACACTGTCTGATACATTACTGTGCAACTTTATGAATAGTCCAGAAACATTGTGCAATATAGAGGAGGAAGATGAAACACTTAGCTTAGAAAGCTCTCAAAGTAGGACTGAGAAAGAGCTGTATCATCAGAGTAAAATCAGCTCTACTCATGTGGATAAGGTAAAGCTTTCGAGACCTCCATTTGCTGACGTGGCACCACTCACATTGAGGAGAAACAGTGGCAGACATCCATTAATCGTCGGAACATGGAATGTATGAAGTATGAATCTAGGAAAATTGGAAGTTGTCAAAAAATGAAATGGAACACATAAAGTTTGATATCCTAGGCATTAGTGAGCTAAAACAGACTGGTTTTGGCCATTTTGAATGAGACAACCATGTGATCTACTATGCCGGGAATGATAGTTTAAAGAGGAATGGTGTGGCATTCATCATCACAAAGGATGTTTCAAGATCTGTCCTGAAGTACAGTGCCGTCAGTGATAAGATAATATCCATACATCTACAAGGAAGACCCATTAATATGACTATTATTCAACTTTATGCACCAGCCACCAAAGCAAAAGATGAGGAAATTGAAGATTTTTATCAGCTTCTGCAGTCTGAAATTGACCAAACTTGCAATCAGGATGTGTTAATTATCACTGGTGACTGGAATGCAAAAGTTGGAAACAAAGAAGAATCACCAATAGTTGGAAAATTTGGCCTTGGTGACAGAAATAATGATGAAACTCGCATGGTAGAATTTTGCAAGACCAGCGACTTGTTCATTGCAAACACCTTTTTTCAACAACATAAACGGCAGCTCTACACATGGACTTCACCAGATGGTAAACACAGGAATCGGATTGACTACTTTTGTGGCAAGAGGCGATGGAAAAGCTCAATATCTTCAGCCAAAACCAGGCCAGGAGCTGATTGTGGAACAGACCATCAACTGCTCATTGCAAGTTCAACTTGAAGTTAAAGACAATAAAAACAAGTCCACAAGAGCCAAAATATGATCTAGAATATATCCCTTCTGAATTTAGAGACCATCTAAAGAATAGATTTGATGCATTGAACACCAGTGACCGGAAACCAGATGAATTGTGGGATGACATCAAGAGCATCATCCATG